GTCATTTTTAATAGTTTGTTTTCTTTTCTTTGTATATATTTTTTCTTGTAAATATTTTTAAAATTTGACTTTGTATTTTTGGGTCAAATATTATAAAGATTTATTATAATGTAACTATTTTTTTAGGAGTGCATTTAGTATATTAAGAGGAATGTAACTAGTATTTGAATATGTGCTTGTTGGGCATAATTAGACCATGTGAGGGTGAGGCGTATTAGCCCATGAAGTGGATGCCCACTTCACCATCACTTCTCTCTCATTAGTTCAAACAAACCTACCAAGTCACATTTTCACATATTAGTTCTATATCTATTTTTTACTAATATACCCTATCAAACCTTTTGCATTTTATCATGTGGCAAACTCTCATTAACTATTTTAAACTTAAGATGTTGACACTTTTACGAGAGAAAATTCAAATTTGAATTAGAGATAGTTAGTTTGAGTACAAGTTAACCTAATTTTGGTTAGCTTAACTTACACTACAAGTTATCAAACTCTATATATATATACTTGTAACTCCTATGTAACTCATCATTTTAAGCCATTATATGAGAATTGAGTTTTTAAAATTCTCTCTTTAAAGTCTTATTTTTTCCTTAAGAATTTTTATTAAGGAATTCTCCCTTGTGGCGAGTTCAACATTTTTTGCTTATCATTCACTTGAAGGAGACACATCTTATTCCTAATCTTTCTACCATATTTTGCTTGTTTTCTTTTCAATTGGAGCCATGGATGAAGATTGGAGGAGAAAGGAAGCAAGATGAGGAGAAACATCCATCATCTTCTCAACTAATTTCATCATATTTGGTATCATGAGCGTTGGTTTCATCCATGGAGGCTTATTCTTGAATTTTCTTTATGTTCATATATTTTTACTTGTCTAGTCAAGTTTATGTTGTGTAGATCTAGTTTTTGTATGCTAATTCTACAGGTCTATGTTTCTCTTGAAAACTTTGGTTCAATTTTTTTTTAAACCTAGTATATGGTGAAGGATTTTTTTACTCTTGGCAAGCGGACCAAGCTTCGTTATAGTAATTTGATATCGTCCTCAGGGATTTGGTGATACTAGTAATTTCCTTTCTTGTTTGTGGAGAACATGAGTGAAGTATTGATTTAAGTTTGAATTAAAGCAATTAAAAGCAACAGAATGAATGTAATAGAAAACCTTATATGAGAAAGAGATTGGATTCAAATGTACTTTCTAACTCTTTTAATCTTCATCAGATAAATATGATTTCACTTCTATCACTTCCATGTTCAATAATTAGCTCAACCAGATTCCTCAAAATTGAGCCCTAAGGTGGTTAACCCTAAACATGATTCCTCTTTGAATTAAGATTAACACCTTGCATTAAGACAATAACTTGAACCAAAATGGCTAACAAAATCAAGTCTATTCCTAGAACAAGAGATTATTAGGTGAATGATTCAGTTCGGGTTTTGAAAATGTTTCCCAACAAAGTTCAAAAACCTAAAATCATAAAATGGGTGATCAAACCGGATTAAACATTAAGAGAAGAATCAAACACAAGTAATAGAGCTGAATATCATATAGATCTAAGAAGAAATAGAGTTAGTAGTTACATTGAATCCAACCCAAGAGAAACTAGCCACTCATGGTGAGGGCCATAGCAAATAACAAGATGAGATTACACGATAGAAGAGAAGAAATGAAGATGGGTCCTCGTTCCTAAGCAAGCCAATCTTCAAATCTAATCTTCAAGCTCTCCTCTTCCCCTGGGTGCTCTTTCTCTCTCTTTTTCTTTTGTTTCGTTATGTTTCGATCCCCCTTTTTTTCCTTCTTTTCGTGCCCTAAAATACGTTATGTCCAAGGGAAAGTTGGGATTTTTAACCCAAGGCTGCAGCTCTGGATTGGGGGCTGTAGCTCTGAATTTCTGGACTGCCCAAAATGTTCCAAGGCTGGAGCTCTGGTTTCATGGCTGAAACTTCAACTCTCTGGAATTGGTTCAGGCTTCGTGGCTACAGCTTTGAATCTGGAGCTATAGCCTTAACTCTCTAGAACACTTCTTTTTGGTTCATGCTTCATGACTGCAGCTTTAGCTTTGGAGCTAGCCTTGGATTTCCAACTTCATCAAAATCTACACAAAAAGGAAATATTTTCAACCAAAGAAACTACACTCTTGTAACTCCTTAGATTAATCTTAGTTCATCTATTTGGAGGGTCAAATACAACCAAAAGTACTTACATCTCTCCCAAAAAGAGTGCCAAATTAAGCATAAAAATATGCAATTTGAGCACTTATCAGTATATTAACCAAATATTTGTGTATGCTTTTAAGATTCATGTTCTATGTGTTTTCCTCTTTATTTTGATGTATGTTATGATGAGTTTGAAAATATAAACAAAAATTATGAATAGATCTAACTTTCTTTTTGAAATCTATGCAAAATATGTTATCTAAAGTCATATTTAGCCCTTGTTTGTCATGATTTCTAGTTGTTACTATTTTGTTTTGAAATCCTGAAAATATTTGTATATCTTATGCTAGCCAAAACATATACATATATTTTATGTTTATAATCTTTGAGTTTTTACATATTATTAAATCATTAATATGTTTGAGTAGAGTTATGTTTCTTCTTTTCTAATAATTTTTTTTTCTCTATTTCATCATCTATCATTTCTTTCGCTTTCTCTTTTCTCCCTATCTCTTTCGTCTACTTATCCTAATACACCCCATTTTGGGTGCACTTTAATCATAACTATATTTGTTACATCATAAAAATGGTGGAGAAAAATATTATGTGATGCACACAAATTTCTCTTTTTAAATGAAGAAAATTTTCTTATATTTATTCTTTGTGTGAGACTTATATCCCTTTTTAACTTTTATCTTGTGTATATTTTTAATTCTTTTTTATGTAAGGATAATTTTGTCTTCATACATAGGTTTTATTTTCCACTTATGCAAAGAAGAGAAGAGAAGAATACATTTTTCTTTTCTCATTTCAATTCATTTTAACAAAAATAATAATTATTATTATTATTATTATTGAACTAAAATAAATCATGTTTAGATTGATTGTATCATTTAAATAACGTTTTTAAAATTGAAATTACGTTTTTAAAATTGAAATTACATAAATCATATATATTATTAATAAAGATAATGCATTTTCTTATTGTACATATTTTGTTTATTATTTTATCTTTTGATTTCAAAAATCACATTCTCTAATTGTTAACCATCTATACATATTAACTTCAATTATTTTTATCATTTATTTATTTAAAAGAAATACACATAAACATGAAATGTCTTTTTTACACTAATAGTATATATAAAGATAATAATAAATTAAATCATAACTATCTAGATGAGAAATATATACACAAGCTATTAGAGATTAAACTAACAAAACTAAGCTTCCAACTCATTTAAATAATTGAGTTTAACTTTAGGCGATTCCTTGCGTGCCCTTTGTGAGTAGAGGGTTTTCGTGAGTAGAGGGTTTTCGTGACGGCGATTCCTTGCGTGCCCTTTGTGAGTAGAGGGTTTTGGTGCCCTCTGTACGGACAGCGAATCAGGTGATGCCACGTGTTCCTTTACTCCATGTCATCCTGCGTGTTGAAAGTTTGACCAGAAATTGGGTAATTGGATCTGATCCGTCCCTGCACCATGATCCAACAAACCAACCTGGGTCCCTAGAATCATTTTGAAAATTTGGATTCTAGGGGATCAATTCCGACGAGGAAAATGTCATGTCCTTATAAATTGAATTGGGAGAATGGGTATCAAAGCACACCACCCTCAACGCCGACAACGCCGGCGGCAGCCTCATCCTCCGCGCCCCCACCTCCGGCGGCGGCGACGGCCA